GAAAACAATTTCCCTTAAAGGGATGTATTCATGTTTTGCGAAAAGCCTGAGTCGTGATTGTTCGGCTGAGTTGTTAACCGAATCTTCAAAGCTTCCGGCGACATCCAAGTAAAACCCACAGGATGTTAGCTGTGTATTCATCGCCTCTTTTGTGTAATTTAGCAAGCACTCAAACATTGCTCTGTATGGATAATAGATTGCGCAGTCGCTTACCAATCGGTTAGCAACCGAAACTTGAACTGATTGAAACATTGAATGAATCAAATTATTTACAGGAGCACAGGTATCCGTCGCTTTGATTCGCTCCCAACTACCATCAGCATTCCTTTTCTTTAGTGCCACTTCTAATTCTATGCTTAAATCCGGTAAAGAAACCATGGCGTTTGATGAAGGAGCTATATAAAATTTATGTCACCACCCGCCGGAATATTTTCCGGAATGGCGGCTGTGGGGCCGATTCTTTCTTCTTCTGTCCGGAATCGGTCCGCAAACGAAGGCGGTATGGCAAAATGTGCGATTCTGCAGCAATGGCAGGTTCTGACCCTTCGATTATGGAAGCCATTTCTAAATATAGTCAGGAAGATCAAATGGTGGGACCCGGCGAATTTTGGTAGTGCGTTTCCGCTTCGTTGGCTTCTTTAATACCCTTTTCTTCCTTTTTTACCGCCGCTAGATGTTTGTTGAGTTGGTGCGAGAACTTGGGCGATTTTGTTGCCCACAGATTTTGCAGCTTCATGTACCGCTGTACTAGCTGCTTCTTTTAAATGAGGCGTAGCAGCTGCTAAAGCGGCTTGTGCCTGCGGCGCTGCCGCCCTTACAACTGGTGCAACAAAACGAGCAACCTTGGAAAATACTGCACGCAGAAAACTACCAAAACCTCCACCGTTTTGATAGCTTCCACGATATCGAACAAATCCGCTCCCCAGCTGTGTATGACCTAGTAAATCATCAAATAATCCGGATCAGGCGCAAAAGCTTTATATCCCATTTTCAGTATCTTGCCGGTCGGAAATGGAGCTTCACCATCGATTTTCCTGTTGCGAATTTAGCGTTGTCTCCGAGATCAGTGGCAATTGTTACTTCGATGTTGTCGAAAATGGGGCGTAAAAGTGGAACATAATGAGGCATTTCAAAACGTTCCGTGATAATTTTGAAAGCCTCAGTTGCCTTAATAGGCACTGCTCTTAAAACCTGCGCATACGTGTCACCAAGCAAAGTAAAATCCGCAACATCGCAATAAATATATAAAGATTGATTGCCAATCATGGCGTTTATAGCTTCCTGGGCAGTAAACAAAAAGTTTTGGATAATTATCGGTGCCGGCTTTGACTTTTTTCGTTCCGGTTGCTGAACGCTTTCTAAACCAGACGTATTTTGTTTTGAACCGCTTCCTTCGGTATTTTTTGATGACGGTAATTCTGTTTTTTTCGCAGAAATAGAAGCTGTTGCTGATAGCGCAGCTGGCTTTGGCGCTGGTGTCTGCGCAGGCGGCGGTGGCGGTTGGGGCGGTGAAACTGTATTTGCTTTCGCAGCTGTTTGTTGTCGAGCTTTCTTTTCTTTGAAAAATTCCTCCAGCTGATTTAAACCGTCAAAATTTTGCGCAAGGTCAACAATATTTGCAGGATCAGAATAGGCAAACAGTTGTCGATGCTGACACCCCAATATGCGTTTCAGCAGTTCATTGTTAATAGCCAGAATAACGGTATTGGCATTAATTGCAATTTGCACTTTTTGATTGTTAGCTAGTAATTCAATAGAAAATGCTCTCCTCTTTTTGGATTCTTGTCCTTTTGCCAAGAGGAGCTTCGGAATTTGCGAAGAGATTGTTGCAATGATTTGTTCGTTGGTATAATTACCGGCGTGTAAAGTAATGCGCTTTTCTCAAACAGAAACTTTTCCAACCCTGTTTTAGCATCCGAATTTGTTACAATATCGTAAACCTGCAAACAATCCATGGTCTGCTCTGTAGGAGATTGTACATGGAATTTGGGTAATAGAGTTCGACAATTGCAACTTCCCATTTTCCAGACAATGAAATCGTTTTGCATAATTTGGTTTTCCAACTGGATGCAGTGTTATTCGAGTAAATATCTGTGCAAGCATCACTCGGCAATGTGATGTAAAATGGCTGTTGATATTGCAAGCTATTCATTTTCTAATCCGCGTTAGCTCCCTTGCATAAAATTTTCCTACTATTGGCTCCTCTTTTTCATCCTCGAGCTCATACACTGGCTCCGGTGTATGTGGTATTACCTTTGCTATTCGAAAAAGCTCCTCCTGAAAGTTTGTTTCAAAACCTTTTTCAAAGTCCTGCTTTTTTTTGGCAATTCTGACGACATCTTTCACCTTAAATACTGGTTTCTTTTTTTTATGGTCTGTTTTCTCGTATAATCGATTAAACACAAGCAGGGAATTTTCTTCAGTCACATCCGCAGGACAAAAGCCATGAGAAGAGTGAGGAGTGTGATTATATGTCCATACAATATTTTGTAGCCGATCGTAATATTTTGGAGATTTTCGACTAGTAAATAAGCGCCATATGCGCTCACGCAGCGTTCGAATAACGCGCTCCGCCATGGAACATTTTATGTCATCGTTTTCCGAACTGAATAGCATAATCTCTTTCCGTTTGAGTAAATCCTGACATTTATTAAAATTCCGGCCTTTATCAGCCTGTATTTTGTCGAATGGACCCAGGCGTTCTAGTATTTTTTTCAGTGCTTTTGCCGTTGATAAACCATCTTTACATAATTAACTCGCATTCTATTTTTTTAGAAAAACAATCAATAGCAACCAACACGTAGCCATAATTTTTGTTCCACTTTTTAAACTTTTGCATATCCATCAAATCTACCTGGAGCTGGCTATTTTTATTTAGGACGACCACCGTTCCTGTGGAATTTTCGGTTGACAGGCTAATGTAAACAGTAGGCATCGAGCCCCTCAAGAATATTATTGGCTTTTCCTTGGAAACATTTTCTGGAAGGTTTTTGTGAAACCGCTCGAGCCCCTAGGCTGCTCAGTGCACTAGGATTGAGATAGTGCTGGTCCATCGGAAACAGGCTGAGTAATTTTAGGTACCTCGTTGGCTTTGTCACCAGCTTTAGACGAATCTTCTATTTTATTTTCGTCACTGTCATCAGAACAGCAAGAAGAAACACAATTCAATTTCATCCCTTGTCCAAAATTTAGATTTACCGGCACACAACCCGACATTTTAAAGAACCTTTAGCCAGCGGCCTTTAATGCCTTGCCCTTTTATAAAAAACTTTGTCTGCTCTCGTACCCGCTCGCCACGGCGGCGTGGTACTTCTGCGCTTACAGCTTGGAATTTATTATCGGGTGATATTTTTGTTTCGTTTAGCGTTTGTTCCAATACGCGTTTACCGCGTTTCCCTTTTTCATTTGACGGTAATGAAAACACTGGGAGATCATATTCATCCGAATCATCCGAATCAATATCAGTCAGGTTTTTTCTTGATTTTTCTGCGTGATTTTGACGATGCTGTTGTGGCGCGAACTCTTTTCGCTTTTCGTTCGGTTAACGGTGTGGTTAAGATTGATGGAGTCGGAGTTTGGCGTCGTTTATACTTACGGACAGACTATCAAGGGATTACCTTCTTGAAGGGCTCAGGGCTTTAATGCCATGAACCGTTCTAAATTTTACTAAGTAATTGTGCTTTCTGCCATTCACTTAAATTTTGACTTGAAAGGATTTTTTGATGTCAAATCGCCAAGCGATAAAATGTTGTTCGCTTCAGGTGGAGCTTGTAAAACTGTCAGCTCGGCGGCTCGCTTCTTGATATCCCGCTCAGGCACAATATAATGTACCTCCATGACCTTAAATTAGAATTTAGCGCTCCGGCCAGAACACTTGCTAAAACTGGCAGCACTGCACCCAGAAAGCCACCTTTTGTGTTAATAGCGCTTTTTTTAGCTTTGTGGTACCGTCGAAGAGCTAATAATCGTATCAGCTTTTTCCACTCTTCGCGTACTTTCTGGTGATAAATTCCTTTAATATCCAGCTTTTTGTTACAATGATTCGCGACAGCTCTGCGATCTTTGGGGTTGAGCGACGAGAGAAACAGTAAAAACGAAGCAAATTCTTTCAAATGTTTGGTCATGCTGACGGCACTGCACAGAAATTCGGGTCGGTGTAAATTCTTGCTGTTTGAAAGTCCGTTTTGTTTTCTTGCACAACATGAGATCTAATACGCAAAAAATCGGGACAATTCGGTTTTAAATCCAAAATCAAAGGTTCAAATGGAGTAGCAGTAATCTTTTTGTACGCTTTTTTCAGATGCTTAAATCCTGTTTGTCTTGATAAATAATCGAGTTGGCTGTTGTCGCGAACATTTTTAAACAACACAATATACTGAGTATTTAAGGCAATATCCCGACTTGCTTTACCTTGCTTAAATAAATTCTGTGTGATATAAATTGCTGACAAATTTCTGTGATGTATTCCTTGCGTAAATAGTTTCGTGGCTAACTCACTACTTGCCATTTCGCCCGCCAGATCATCAATAATTAGCAGATTGCTTTCTGCTTTAGAAAAAAACTCCGAATCTAGTAAATCGTCTTTTAACCCTTTAACAAATTCTGTTGCTGGAAAAATCTTTTTAATTTCTTCGTAAGAGTTTTGCCATTGACTGTATGCTACCACTATTCTGGTTGGGACGACGTCCATTGCATTTCCTTTCAGCATTTTAAGAACATATTGTGTTTTACCACTCATTGTTGGCCCACATATTATTGCTCCGAAAGGCCATTGGAACCTGAGATCATAACCAACTTCTGGATACATGGCACAAATAACCAATATCGTCGCAACTGCGCACTTGAATGTGCCAATCGACTTGCACCAGCTTAATTTGAACAGAGACTTTATCACAGAATACGATCCTAAAAAATTCTCTTGTCTTTTGTGGCGCGTAATATATCCGAAAAAATTCCACTGCCAATTATATCGCAACGGTAAAATTACTGTCAATGGCGGACGCACACTGCGCGAGTCACGAAATTATGCAAAATACTTTTTGCGAAAGCTTATTGCTACGGGTTACAAAGGAGCACGAATAACAAATTATAAGGTTGTTAATATTATTGCTTCATGTCAGCTGCGACGACAAAACCTTGAAAATATTGGCCATTCAACTGGTGACAAATACTACGAGCCAGAGATATTTCCAGGCATGACAATAAAGATGAAAAAAGCCACATGTATAGTCTTTAATAGTGGAAAATGTAACATACTTGGTTTAAAAAAATTCGAACATATTGAGGAAGTCTATCAGGAACTTTGCCAACTTCTCAAATAGATTTTGCTCGAGCTTCATTTTGGAATTCTTTTCCATTTTCCTTAGCTGGTGATTCGACACTCTCCATTGACACCGCGTTGCTCCTCGGTACAATCGCAATCGTCTGAAAATTATACATATATGCAATATTGTTTTTTTTGCCAGGATTTTTAAAAAGGTACCAATTTCTTCTTCTGTTTCATAGGAGCTGAAGGAACTGTCCGAATCCGTATCGTATCCTGTAATTAAAGGTGCAGTTGACTTGTGGTATTACTCAATTAAATTTTTTTTTTACTTACCGGAGTCGTTGGGAGCGTCCGGCTGTTCATGATTGAGCATTACAATATGTCCAGGAGTTTGGTTACAATGCTTGCACGTATAGTTTTTAACTGTGAGAACGCATTTGATTATAACAGTCTATATCAACAAAATCCTGTGCGTGCATTTTGCTGCACAGCAATTTGTTTCACAGCATTATCTTTCTCGGTAAACTATTTTGCGTGTGAGAGCGCTTATATAAACACATGTCAAATTAACCGAGTCAAGTCATTAATGTCAGTGTGACGTTCGCTATGCGATTACTTTCACTGCTGTTTCTTCTCCGTTTGTCGTAGAAAGACATTTGTTTTCTAGGCAACCGAGTAGATAAAGCTGTGACGGTTAATTTTTGTTCGTAATTACTTTCTATTTGCCGAATCGAGATACACTAATTACCCGGTAGAAAAGACTGTATTTTCTGGAGCAGCTGTCGTTTGCGCGCTGACAACAAATGCGTGCAAAGGATAGATGTTCCCAAAAATACTCTTTAAATTAAACGAAAAACTTTGACTGATAAATTTAACTTCAAACTACTCTCTGCTTCAAATCAACCTGCTAATTAACCAAAAAAAACAAGGGTTAAATTTTTTGGAGCAGTTGTCGTTTACGTGGTAAACAACAATCGCACGTAAACGATAAATGCTCCAAATGATACCCTTAAAATAAAAAAACAAAATGAACTACTGCACAGTTATGGGTAATTCTGTTTCGATGAACACTTAAAATAACATAAGCAAATGGCACGCGCAGCGAATATATATTCGTTTTTTAATCATAATAATTCTGTAAGTTTTACTTCACTGTTGTAGTCGTTAATTTTATGTCCTAAGTAAAAGTTAAAAGAAATGGCAGTATGTATTAACGTCTACTTCCTTTTAGGGATTCCAAAAAACCCGCAACGAAACTGCCACAATATTTTAAGGATTTTGCCAGCCATAGCAATGTCTACAGCATCAAGTATAGAAACCGACTGGCTGTGGCCACCACCAAGTACTTAAACATCCAGTCCGACGAATGGCGCACTAAGACGGTAAGAAATGTTATTATGCAGTAACCTGATTATCAGTTGCATTTATTTACAGGGTAAACTGGTGCGCAAGTTCCAGAAGAGCGCTCTTGACCTTGCGTACATTCACCACCATCAGAAAACAATGTTCACTGCTATTATTGTGATACTGAAGAAGCTGTTGGACGTTGCACAAGCAATGGAAAAGTATCACATGGAAAGCATTGCAACTCTTTTGGCTTCCTGTCCGCCAGACAGTATGCCATCGTCTGATGAGGGCTACTGGATTGATGAAATATCAAATTACCCATCACACTACTCGCAGAAAATCACACGCATCATCGCTGACAACAAAAGAAACAAGACGAAACGAAATTGCTGGAGAAAAATTCGCGAACTCACATTGGAACGACCAGTGAACTTGTGCCTACCGATCAGCTGTCGGAAAGTGAGCTTAAGGCCAGAACCAAGGCGTACAAATCCTTGTGGAAACAACTGACTGAGCTGACAAACTCTGTATCAATGTATAACGACAAAATTAAGGAACACTGCCTCTCCCTGATAACTGGCTTTGAACATCTCAAATCAAAGCTAAACATTGAGAAGATGACCATTGGTAAGTGTAGTTCCTCTGACTTGTATTAAGTTTTATTTCACAGTTTATTGCAGCCCAGGAAGCGTTCCTTCCCATTGTCCAAGAAATGTCCACTGTTAGCACTCTCATTGCTGACCGATACCTGACCCAGTCTGAGAACGGACGTGATGTCAGCGCTGCTTTGAACAAACTGGATGTTGCCATAAACCTGGCTAAGAACGCGCTGCATGGTGTGATCAGCTTGTCTATGTGTATTCATTTTTTAATGTGGTTTTATTTCATTTTGTCAGGTGACCATCCGGAAGTCCGTGATGACCCACGCGTGGATGACATAGGAGAAAGCGAATCGCAAATGAGCACCTCGGACGATGAATAACAAGCTATTACTTACTGGTTTTCATTTTGCTGTTGGGCTTATAAACTATATAAAAATTCTGAATAACGTAATTGTTTTATGCGTCTTATCCGCTTTAGCTTTTGATGCTTTCACCTACTTTATACTATACCCGTACATAAATCAAATAATAATACAGTACAGTCAATGGTCAAGGGATTCCTTATACACTATAGAAAACTAGGAGTAAATATTTAGATACAGTCAACAACTAACGATTTAATCAGTAACTATGGTAATATTTTTGTAAATTATTAATACAAAGTATATTTTTAGTTTTAATTTTTTGCGGAATTTATTTACTTATTGTGACGTCACAAACTGCAGTCCGGAAGTCCAGTAGATAACTGGAATCCAAAATCCCTTTGCGGGACGCCGTTTACTACTCGCATACGAGGACATACTGTACAGCGAGGACCAACGCTAGTGTTGCCATTCTATTATACAACCCGCTAGGTCTTCGGTGATTTCAAGCTTACAGTCAAATACACACATTACGATTTAAAACCTGTGTCAGCAAAACGTCTACGCAAGCATTTTCTAGCTGGATCTCGCTACCACAGTGGGTAGTTGTTACTTAGTTTTTACAATTTCAACTCCAGAAATGCAAATACCAAAACTCAGGGCTGGTCACGCTTGGGTAAATCGACCACGTCGAAGTCTTTCGTTCCTTGTAAGAGAAAGCAAAATTCCGGTTCTCTTTTCTAGAAACGCTCGACATTTCGTGTTGTTATCCAAATACCGCCCGCACATGTTTCTTCCAAAACCCCCGTCGTTATGGGATGTGATATCGCGCAGTGCTCGGCTGCGTTTTGTTGCGAAGGGGAATACAACGCAAAATCTGTCTGTCGGCCCAGCCAGCGCCTTATGTAGCAAGAATGTCGTCACGGATCCGCATACTCCCCATGCCATTCGCTGGCCTCCTGAAGCCTTCATCAACAGAGGCTGGCCTACGCTGCACACTGCCAGACGACTCCTGGTTCGCCGCTATCCTAAATTGAGGATTGTAAATCACGAAATGTACGCATCATTAGCAGAGCCAAAACCACCGGACGTGCTGAAGGAAGACTGGAGAGATCATCACCGCCGCGTTCAAGAACTGCTCTTGCATAAGTCTGCAAAACGGGAACACCATGCAACATCTACAACGATCGCTCGAGAAGTTCCTCTCGACAAGTGCCTGATCCAAACCCGATCCACGCCCACGCCGTTAACTAGAAATTTGACGTTCGTTACGCGCATGCCTAATCGGAAATTCCGATCCAAACACGAGACAAAGTATAATCTAAATGAGCCGACTATTGTCAAAGACAAGCTTCCTGATGGATGGAAAGAACGCCACAAAATAAAGCAAGAGCAACTACTCTCTACGAGAAACCAGAAAGCGGTTTCAAATTTTTCCTGTAATACAACAGTTTCAGTGGACGACAGAGAATCTTCAGCCGGCCTGTCGATTGGCTGTCTTGTAAAGTCGACTGATGAAGTGCACAAAGGCCGTGAATATCTTGAGAAACAAACAATGTGCTTGGACAGAAAAGTACCAGTTGTTGGTGGGGAGTACAGACCTGCAAAACAGTGGATGCATTATCATGCCCTTGCTGGCAAATACCTCGGTAAATACAATGTCCTGAATAGTATAAACTAAAAATTAATGACAATGAAGCTTTCAAGAGACTGCTTCTGCTACGTCTGCATTGAGACTTGATTGCGAGCAACTCGCGCTCAAACTTCATGAACTGCAAAAGGCCTTTCATCATTCGGAAAAACGAACGGCGACCAAACTGAACATTCAAATTGCCAAGTGCATGAAAGAGCTGAAGATGGACTTGAGTGAGTTTTTGCTACAAATCATTTGGTGAGTTAATCGCATTCTTTATCTGGGCCCAGTATCGTTATCGTTCCGATATCGCTTATATGATCACATATATGTAGCTCATATTATACATTTTTCAGCAATTCCACATCTCCAAAACTGCCGGACCAAAAAAGCATACAGCCGCTAGACGTCGTGCCTAAAAATAATCCCAAAACATATCAACCGGCCCGGTAATCCCATGCTTATTATACGCTTGGTTTTTATTTGATTAAACACAACAATCTCAAATTGCTTAAATCTATTTTTAGGCGGTTCTGCTCGGCAGGAACTTTAAGAGCAATCAAGAAGGTCGCTTCCGACTACCATATTTTACGAACTAACGGCTGCAGGTTGCAGAATGTTGAAAACCCACCGGTATGTCACTGCTTTATAAGGACTTTGCGTTACGGGGAGCGTATAAGGTGGCAGCAACACTGAAAATTCCCATCGTGACTTACGGTTTGCTAACAAGCGGTAAAATGAGCAGTTGCCGATAATTTGTAATCCGTTTGAGATGATTTTAGCGTAATAATGTAAACAACTGTGTTCGCTTGGAAATGGTTGAAAAGCGTTGACATTTTGTATGACCCAGGCCGGCGCATTCGTGAAAAGGACATTGATTGTTTAAGTACAGTACGTGCATTCAAAATTCATTAGGCTATCCTTTCTAGGGTTTATGTGCTGGGTTTTTTTTATGAAGTTTTGTTACTTTTGTTTTTTTTTTGTTTTTTAAGGCTGTTTTTGTTTTTATAAGCTACTCAGGTATTTTTTTAAAACAAAAGCCCAGGCTTTTTCACTGCAGTGTGTGCACTGTGTGGCACAACCAAAAGCTGTCTCGCCGCGTTTACTGCAGCAAAATACTCGTAGCTTTGTGCCCGACGTGGTATGCGCCAAAATACAGAGCTTGAAATTCGGAAGCTACAGATGTGAGCTCCTGCGGTGAGGCCCAGAAATAGTAGACTTTCTCTCAATTCAGTTGTACAGCTTAATTCTAAATTCTTCAGACTAACGCCTCATCTGTAGTTAATAAAGAGGAAGAAGAAGCAAAGTAGCCGAAGAGATTTTAACCGCTGCCAGGCGATTACCATAGAGTTAATATCATATTAGCTGTGTGTGCAGAATTATCTCACACAAATTCTGTCGACGACGATCCAGGGTTAACCGCTTGCCAAACGCGTATTGGCAGATGTTTAGTGCCATGCAGTTGCCAATAGTAGGCGCCACTGGCACCTTTTACATCCTGCCGACTTCGCGCACTTACTGTATTTCTTTTACTGAAGCGGTTGCACGCCTCAAGGACGCTATAGATTTATCCGATTGTGTCGATTTCATAACTTCTTTCCTCCCGGTCAAGCCTTTCTTCGCCCATTCACATTATTACGGGTGCAAAAGAAATCGGTCGTTCTCTGTATGCAGTTAGGGAATGACTCTAATAATGCTACTGTGATTGGTTTGATTCAGGAGAAAGGTGTTCTTAAGTTTAATCCTAGGTAGACAGTGTTAGTGCGCTAAGAATACTTAAGTGCTTTTAGCTGATGTATAACCTACAAGCTATTCTACAGAGGAAACCAGCAATCTCGCAATTCCGTTCCCCAAATAGCAGGATCCGCTCATTGCAGACGACAAACAGCGGTGAGAAAGCTGTTTGCAAAACGGGTGCGACTCCCAAAAAACTGCCAAGGTAACCCCGCTTCATTGCTAGCGATTGCGGGCAGCAAATCTGTTCAGTTAAAAGCTAATAAACGTCGTCAAAACTTTACTTGATTCGATATTGGCAACATAAGATTTAGTGAAGCAATTAAATTTTTGTAGAGTGTAATGCAACTTCTGCAAAGCAGCAGTTTACTACAGTTACATAGCCATCGGATTCTCAGCTGGAATATCAATCGGCATAACTGGTTTACAGTTTTCATGTTTGCTACAGCCTTGAGCTACAGCTTAAGTGCTATATAACTCTATCGAACTGGTGTCAAAATTAAAATTAATACGAACTGTTACTTATATCTGCAGTGCTGGTGAATGCTCCATACATAGGTGTGCTGTTGATACCAGTGGACCCGAAGGCAAGCTAACTATAAAAGAACTAGGCATGCCAACTAAGCACTACTTGCCAAAAGACCCTTGTCTATCCCCAACGATCCCAAGCTTAAAAAATGGAGAAGACGGTTTGACTGAAACGGATTTCCAGCCACGATTTACCGAAAATCCTATAACGCAGCGGTCAAAAGCTGAAAACGCAGAACTAATATCCTATTTGCTGCAGCGAGCCACCAACAAGATTAGAAAATACAAAGATAATACGAAAACATTATGTACATATCTAAAACATAGCAACCATGCCATGAAAGTATCCGCTGTTCGGCGGGAAAAATTTCCCATATAAATTCAGTTTTTTTGTTTGAAAAGAATGCAGTTATAGTAAATAAACAACTACTAAAGACAAAAAGTTTAGAAACGTGCATGTCGAAGGCACTACCGAAATTTTTGTGAATGGAATTTTATCGTCGATATAATTTTCTTGCTAAATTTGTGACAATCCTTTGCTAACCTTGGTGCTTGGATGAGCAGGCAGTATGTACTTTGCCATTCGCTTTCTCGGCTATTGAAGTTTTACAATGTCTCACGTGAAGTCTGAACCTGGTGCTGTTTCGTTTCGAAAATTAGCTAACGAAGTTTTGGGCTACGATCGATCTAGTGTGGTGCTAGTTTTCTTCAGATTGGTTTGTTTGCAAGAACTCAAAGTTGTACAGGTGTTTTTGCTCTTACAATAATCTCTACCTGGAGCCCGCTTCACATAACATATAAACCGCCGCCGCCGAATAAAGAAAAAGTGCGCCCAGTTTCGGCGGCTCAGATAATGCGGGCTAATGTGATGATTGGCTCGATTTCCGTACATGTACCGCGTTTTCTTATGCTGGCTGATATAAATGTGATCTCTCCATAAGTAATGCATTAACGGTGCACAGAAGTGGTTTTAAAGACTACAGGTTGTAACACCGTAAAGCACTAAGGGTCGGAAGATTCAAAAAGCAGAATTGTATTACTTTTTACTACTTATATGACAACTTTGCTATGTGGATCAGTACATATACAGCAAACTAGATTCTCTACAAAAAGTTTTTTCATTTTATTGCACTTACACAACTCCGCTTTTACAACGCATGAAAAATAAACAAAATTCTTGATATTTTTACTATAAAACGCAAATGTTGTAGTACAGTATGTTCACCCCCGATAACTGGCCCCCTAACATCGGGGTGCGTGAGTGGGCATTTGCCCCCAAGGAGCTGTAATGGTTTGGTCTCATTGATTTCCACCATCCTTCATCCGTTCTGGTACTTTAGTTTGTACTTTTACTTCGATACTTATTAAAGGTTCCGTTCAGTACAGTATTATTTTTTCATTTATCCACCTAATGCATAACTTTATCAGAATTATTCCGTGTTTAGTCGCTTGGTAAAATAACCTAAAGAGTTGCTCTTACTCGGATCTTTTTCTAGCGCAAACCGAGAGCTTTAACTGCAAAAACGCTTTATGCCTTGAAGGCTGATTATACTTTGTGTTACCGCAATGTCAGTCGTTATAAGGGAGACCTCGGGGTATGGAACTTGTTGCCGTCGTGGAAAAATAAGCTGCTCCTGGCGTACTAGCACTCTTCCATAATTGAATTTTACTGAAAGAAGATCATATGGCATGAAATCATAAGATTCGTGGAATCCTGGACTGATTTCTGAAAAGCGTTTCATAATTGGCTTTTCGTCCGGAAGGCAAACACGGGTTGCACTGTAGACTTGAGATGTTTCCAGTTATCGGAAACAAAGCGTCAAAAGCTTTCTTCAGCTATCAAAGTGACAAAAACTCGTCGGTTTTGCTGTTTTGATAGATTTGTCTTTCTTGTACACTTGATCACGACCACAATAATAAAAAAAACTACAAACTCGGAAAAATGCTGGATGCGGAAAGAAGCGAAGACAAAACCGCCTTGGAAGGCCTTGGTGCACTGCCAAGCATACCTTTTGATCGGCATCACATATGGCCTTGGATGTTAACTGCACTACCATCACTCATCATTGGCTGCTTGTCGCTGCTCGTTGTACTTTATTATTTAAAAGCTCAGAAGCAAGAACGGCTGCGGGGAAATCGTGGATCCTTTGCCAGCGAAGTTATTCAAGACGCTCAAATATCGTTTGGAAATCTACATGAAAGGTCAAAATTTCTAAACTCTAAAGCCCGCCAAGCTTGCAATAATCTTGCCATGCATCATACGGCTTCTTATACCCAAGCACCAGTTTTTACAAATGACGACGACGAGGATCTGGAAGATGAGGACGCCGTACTGTTTTACATTATGGAACACTGTGAGTCAGAGTATAACTTTGGTTTTTCCTAGAACCTTTCGCTCGACTGTGCCATGGAGTCAAGCGACGTGCAGGAACAAAAATCGTTAACATCATCGAGAAGAAAATCTTTTCAATGATCACTGTTTACAAAAAGAGGCAAACATTTGAAACAACCAGAAAAAGGACCGCGATTTCATGCACGATATCCGTTTCCAGCTCAACCTTTGCCACTCTCCAAGAGAGACTGGCCTCCCATCTCAGCCGGCTTCTCCAAGCACATAAGGTCCAGGATAGTCGGAGCAATATCACACAGAGCTGCTGAATGTTTTATCTGACGAAACTTCCGCTTCGTGTTGCACAGAATGAAAGGCACTGTGGAAAGACAGAATTAGGCGCAAACACTTGCTCAAGAATTGCAATAATAATCATACTTTCATACTTACCTTTGTTAGTTGTGTGCGCCGTGTGAGGCTCATTATTTTTCTCAACCATCTGTTCAGCATTTCCATGATCGGCCGTTATCACCAATACGTAACCGGACTTTTTGCAAGCTTCGAAGATTTTTCCAATGGCACAGTCTAAGCTCGATAAAAAGGCATTAGCATCTCAGTAAATAACATGTTCACATTACCAGACAAAATTTTATGTGAAACTCGTGGACTTCTTAAAATATCAAGTTTCTTCTTAAAATACAAACCAGTTGCTTCTACAGCTTTCACCGTTGCCTCATAGTTTCCTGTATGGCCCACCATATCTGGAGGCGCCAGGTTGCACATGACGAAAGCATATTTTCCTGATACAAGAGCATCAATCACCTACGCAGATAGGAAATTAAAATTAAAAACTGCCAGTAAGGCGTTGGTAACGCTGTCCCAATGTTCCGAAGCATTTTACGAAAGACGCAAATCTCTGGATGCTTCAAGCCCACCATTGCTAGATCGCACCATTTGGCAATTTGCCAAAATAAATTGGTATAATTATGAGTGGTTCGGGATCAAATTTGGTCGCGAAGAAGGTTTCAAATACTTTGACCTGGGGATCCAGGTGTTGGTGCGCTTGAACTACTTTTTTTCTTCATACTGTCTGTGAAAAAACCATTAAGCACCCACTTTATCAGCAACACCAAAGCAGCTCATTTCTGGCTGCATGTCGTAGGTTGCAACTTTCGGTGATTCTACCAAAACCCGGTCTTCGCGCATCACTTGTTTTTCTTTTCCACCATTGAAGAAGAACGTTACATGAGCGTATTTTTCGGTTTCTGAAAATCACGTTTCAATTAAAATAATTGTCTTTTTCAAGTTAATAAAATAAGGTAAAGCAAACCTGCACAATGAAACTGCCATAGATTCTTGGACGATATCCAGTCTGGTAATGTGCACTGCACTTTTACTGGGGTGTATAGCAATGGAAATCTCCAGTCTGAATTGTACTGCGTCATGCAGGCTATATACTAAATGCGCAAATAAAACAGTCTTAGTAAACTTGGTATTGCACTTGACTGAGCAATTACATTGTCATCATGACCAATAAACAAAATTTACAAGGTCCCGCGGGTGCACATCAGTGGGAAAGTTTCTTTCTAGGCCAAAAGTCTCGACTATCTGTCGCATTCTATCCGAACGGAAATTAAAGAAGATCACAGTATCGCCGTCTGGAAAAAACAAGGCGAAGGCTATGGTAATAACAAATTAAAAAAGCCATGAGCGCTTTTTGGATTGCTCAATATGTCGAAATTTCACAGTATTTCACGTGCAGCAAAAACTCTTTGGCAAATCTCTGCTGCGACCTTTAGCAGCAATCTTACCATCATTTTGATAAGTAACAAACAAATGTTTACTTGTTTACAGTAGCGAATATTTACTTATTTACCTTTTATCCGATTGTCGCCGCGAATCACGATAGGCGTTAGAAATTCATCTAGCAAACGCTCCGTTTCGGCAGCGGAATGATGACGCGATATCAACTAGGACCAAGGTACTAGAAGCCGCACTTATGCAGAAGAAATCTCATTAATAAGTCAGTGAAAGGCAAACCTCCAACATGCCATTCACATCATTCACAACCTCTCCTTCGCCTTTGTATAACGCATTAAATGCTACTTTAATTCGGTCCCAGCGTTTGTCCCGGTCCATTGCATAATATCTTCCGACGGCGGTCGCAATTTCTCCATATGCGGCATCGTTCATCTTCGCTGACAAGGCCGTTAAGTAACTAACTAGAACCCAGCGGTTAAAGCATTCATTTCTTTACTGCAAATAAAATGCATGCTTGCCAGAACTTGTTGGGCTTGTATCACGGCCATCAGTAATGCAATGAACAAATGCTTTTTGAACATTGTTGATTTTGGCAGCATCAAGCAGGGCAAAGAGATGATCCATGTGCGAATGCACTCCGCCATCGCTCACCTACAGGAGAGGGTGTTGTCGGAAGCAAAAGTGCTGTTTACCGCATAACTGAATCCAAGCAGATTCAAAATTCAAGCATATTAATGCCTAATTAAGCGTGGTTATTTTTGAGAGCACAAAGAATACCATGAAATCAAGATTACTGTTAAATGAAATCAAAGTGCATTAACCATTGCTGCACAAATTTTCTTGAGATTACCAGGCCAACAAAGTGAATTCTTCCGCCAGCTAATTTGGCTCGCTCACAGGCTTTAACAAATTCAAGGTTCCGTTCAATTTTATGATTTTCGACGTCCAGACTTATCCGAACAATATCCTAGAAGCAGGAATATGAAAGTTGTGCACTCCAGTCAAGCATTCTATTCTAACAGCATTCGAACTACTTCCCTGTAATCACTGGAGTGAATGCCACAGTATGTACCAGTACACCGAGTACAGTATCAATCTGATGTTCTAATCAGCAAAAGCCTGAAATCTTTTAAATTTATTGCTCGGGTAAAGCAAGTGTACATGCTCAAGTCTGCTTTAAGAGATAATTTACTAAATGCTCCCAAAATCAAGAAAACGTCGGCCACCTGCAGAAAGGTAAACAAACGGGTTGATGGTTGATGCTTCGAAAACCATTCTCTAAAACTGTTCTGCCGGTGACAAACGCCCTAACGCCGGCTGCAGCGAGCGGTCACAGAGGACAAAACGTAGTCAACTTTTATCAAGGAAAAGAGTCGCTTTATAAAATTAATAGAAAATTACTAATCCTACAAGAACGACCACACCTGAAAAACAATTCGTCCCGCTCCAATGTTCAGATGACCGACTTCGCTATTCCCCATCAGACCACGCGGAAGTCCCACAGCTAGCCCGGATGCCTCTAATGTGGTATAACGTTCTTTGTCTTTCGATAACTCAGTTAGAACTGGAGTATGTGCGCTCGCTACGGCATTCCCTTCAAGAAAATTGAAGCGTTAGTTTACACCACTGCAATTAGGCAGCGCAGAAGCATATGAGCGTAACAAAAAAAATATACCATTTTTTTCGTCAGATAATCCCCATCCATCGATAATTATCAGGCATACTTTGCTATCTTTTGTTTTGGAAGCCATTTGAGGAAGGCAAGGACAGCTCGTTTTCATTTACTACAACGAATAAGTCCACACCAAAAGGCGGACGCTACCATTCGCACGTCAAAATGTTTTGACGCTGACGTAATAGCAAATTAGACATTTAACGTAACAGACAATTATATCTACTGTCAACGAACACCTGAAAACATACTGTGCGCTCCCGTGCTTAGAATTCCAAAACAATATTTAATGTCCTGTAGTAAACCCCAGGTACAGTATGTTGACAGGAAAACAATATCAGTCGTTAACTTAATAACTTTATCTTGCGTGGCTATTTTCGTTTCCAAAGGGTTAAAGCTGCTGTTAACTTTGCAATCTTATTGCGAATATTTTGCAAAACGCATGCGAATAACCATCTTAACTTCTCACTGAGGTGATGTTTTCTGATGCTGTGTAATTCCCTGGCTACGAGTAACGGAAAGTCGCATAAGAGCCTGTAGGTGCGACTGGTGCGTCATGCGTGCACGTTTTATAAGCGCTCCAAGCTGAGCTGCCTTTGCTATTTATGGAGGGTGAGATCACATTGTATCCTTGTGTTGCACAAGGCTGATCCTATTCAATCGGGAAATCTTGTAAAATGGAGGGAAGGAGCGTAAACATGCTTATTAGCAATCAAGAAAGATAAGTATACATAACTTCAGAACTATGTATTTTGCATAAGTATACACAATGCGGTATCGCTATTTCAGCAGGGATGTACACAGATGGCGCTTGGTGGGATCTTAGTGATTGCCATTGGTGACCCGCCATTTCGTCGACTGAAATTCATCGACCGTCGCTAAATTAAAGAAATCATGGGCCCGTTACGAAGTCGAGCTAGCGTATGTCAAACTGTTCTACTTTTCTTAAGTTTTTAAGGGGTTTTTAATTTTGTTAAGTTCGAACAGAATTTCCTGGTTGCCTTAGGCCTTTTAAAGTTTCGTAGTCCTTGTGAAGGTCGACGCAGTCTTAGTGGCCATGCTGCCGATGAGCCGTCTGATGAATGTAGATTCGTGAAGTGAACCGCAAAGGCAACAGTAAAAAGATGCCACTTTCAAGTCCTTCATAAAAACAGATTTTGGGAGAATGTGAAGAGCAAGCGGTACTTGTTTGGCCAAGCCGTGATAAATGAAGACTGACAGTCACTGACTGAAGAAAGACAATTTCCGAACCCACTAAAACTTGCCAAATATTAAACTTCCAAGTGCAGTACTCAGTACTGCATAGTAAAAAATGCAGCTAATATAGTACTCATACTAACGTAGCAAATATTGATGTGCTCACGGATGGATCCTAATCCATACGGTCTGTCAAGGTTAGGGCGAGCAGAATCTTTCACGAGATTAACAATTATACGTACACAAGCAACGACCACATTTTTGGAAAGCTGACTTTAATACTTGGCAACTGTAAGTTTGTGACAACGCATCGATCTATGGCAACGAACAGCAGTTTATGCAGTTTCGACATTTTTTCGGTAAATCGCAAAATTTATTTAGCAAAACTTAACATCATTTAACGAAATATCATTTAGTCTGCTAGGAGCGGTACATTTTGATCACCAACATCATGGATCGCGTAGCGTTTTTTTGTGCAGCCATCGTTTTTGCAATTGCCACTTACCATTGCGTTATCGTGAGCGGTCAGGCAGACAGCAATGTAAACGCGGCGAACGGTACGAGCGCAGCCGCAGCCGGCAATGCCTCTAGCTCAGCTAACGGTACAAGCGGCAATGGAACAGCTGGTGGCACTGGAACAAGTGTCACCGATTTTTCGTGCGCAACTGGTTCCTGGCCAGCCACCACACCTGCTCCATCATATCAATGTATTTCTTCAAGCACTCTCGGTAAGTGTCATAAACTGTTTGTGTCCCTAAAAGCCTTCGAAACTTACAGAACCAACGTGCTTTCAGGTGTTACTCTTACGGGCTGCTCAATAAACACGACAACCAACGCAGATGGTACTCAGGTTTGCACATGCAACAGCCTGAGCGGGTACTCAGGAGGCACCCCTCCAGCAATAAGTTCCACAAACCCCGTCTATATTAAACCTGAAATTTGTTCAGCTATGACCCCTGGCACTTGTGATTGCCCAGTTGCCAGCAGCAATTCTACCGCTAAAGGAGCCGCAGCAAAAGGAAACGGAACCAGTAAGTAACCTAGCGACAATATGTGCAGATGATTACAAAAATCTAAAATTTATCAAGTGCACATCTGAATTCCATTGCAGTGATCAAAAGTGCACCGTTATTCCTTTTCCTATCTGCCATCATAGCACTGCTGGACAAAATACTGCGGGAATAAGAAAGATAAAAAATCTACCGTCCGAAAGAGATCCATATGCCGCTTAACGATTAGCGGCATATGGATCTCTTTCGGACGGTGGATGTTTTATTTTTCTTGATTTATTTTTCCCGCGATTTTCAGTTGAAACTGCATGCTTAGAAAACTTTCATCATGTTTATTTTATGTCAACGCGATAACTTCCTTCGGTTTTAAAGGATGACCCATCTCATTGCTTCGATATATTCAAAATGCCTTTCTGCCGCATCAGACTTCCCAAATTATAAATAAAAGCTGATTTTTGAAATAGTTTTGTGTAAGTGATGCTCCAATTTCCCTTTGAATCATGTGTAAAAAATTATAGCGATAACTCTTTGATGATTAAATTTTGTAGCAGATGACTACGCCATCTCTGATCTCCTAATATTGGCAAAATTATGCCTTGTTTTTGTTGCTGTACGTGCTCGTGCAACGCTTTATTCACTCAGTATAGCCAGTGATGTTTAACCGATTTTTCATTGATTTGAGCAGTTTTGCGGCAAACGACGAGATATAATTATAACTAAAAAACTAACTGATATTTTAAGTTTTTGCAAGCTAAATGTCAGTGTGTTGCGCTAAACCGTTGGGGATAGGTGGTCATATTTTTAGTATACTATCGCCAAATGCACAATACGTATATGCAAATGTAAACATATTATCAGTACAAAGCTAAGCGCGGCATACATTGGGATTCATTCATTCGTTACGAATTTGTTTGTCCATTTTATCGGCCAGCTGCCCTGCTTTCAAGTTGTATAAAATCAGTTTGCAGAACTCTTGCTCGAAAATCTGCTGCAACTTCTTCAAAATTTTGCACTTCGTTCACTTGCCATTTCTTCTCCGCCCTTGTGTGCGAGCCGTGAACTATGTTCGTACCGTTTGTCTTCAATATTGGACTTCAATTTGGTGTTAACACCAACAGCCGATAGCGATATGCAAACGGGTAGATACGTGTTTGTAGTCCACTCCGTGCTTGGTTGGGATCAATCTGGGTCATCCCAGTCGCAGCCTGCATAATTGTGCAAAAGTCAGTTAAGAGCGTCCTAGACCGTACCTTCGCAGGCCTAGCAAGTGTGTTTAGCCTGCTAATACAGCATTCTTATTTTACTTCATATTTTGAAATGGTCTCTGTGGTCCCGTCAAACTATTAAAGCAACACACCACGGCATCCTGATCATATGTATACAGGAAAGAAATGCTTTGCCTCCGCGTTTGTTATGGTCCACGGTCGGTTGAACGAATGATTTAGATCTTTGATTAGTTTATTTGCAAACTGCAAAAATGTTTTATCAGGCAGGCTTCCACGTACTTGCTATCAGTACTTACCAAATCAGATTTCAAATTCGTCACGTTAGAGTTTTCAAAACATCGTTAACCAGCAATTTTCAGCAACCAGGCAGGCTGACTTTCTTAGTGGAAAACTTAGCATATGTTTGGCCCACAAAACAGTCTAACCAGTCGTTCAGTTGGTGTTAAAAAGGTTTCTACAACTGCATAAATCAACGAAACCAAAGAAATAGGATAGCGAGACGTGAACACCTGCGCCCGATTTACAGACAATGAAAGGGCTTGGGAACATCTTTTGATGCAAGGTTCTGCTAACAACACTGCCGTACTTTGCGACTGCTTTAGGCCTTTCTCTTTCGAAAACGGCTCGGTTCTTTTCAAAAGGCCTAATTGATCGCTGCTACTGTTTTTGCTCAGTCTAAGCTAATCCGGAATAGACCTTTGTTTAAAATGTTTGTTACTGCCCTAACGGTATGCGGGCCTGACCTCTTAGCTGCTCTGGTCACTGTACACGTACACATTTCGATCGAACATCGAAGACTGGCCGTAAACTAGCAACAGATTTTTTTGTTACAAGAAGGCAAATAAATCATCGGAATACCGACAAGATTGTGCGAAAGGTGGTCCTTACGCTGTATAAGTATGCAACAACCACAACAACAACAAAACTAGGTTGTGCGAACATTTACTTGACAAAATTGTTACGTCTGTTACTTGAAGCACTGTGGGTACAAATACCGACACGACAACCCTATTAGAAATTTCTCGGGAGTCAAGGAGAATCGCACAACCAGAAATGATATTCTTGCTTACATTTTATTATAATGACATTGTTGTAATATAACTTTCCGAAGCGTATGGCCAACTTGGATAGTAAACGCTTTGGCAGCAGCAGCACAATGGACCGTAGTAATCCTTTTAATGATAGTGACGAAACGTTTATGAAAAAACATGGTTATGTTTTGGGTGCGACGCTTGGTAAAGGCAGTTATGCGAAAGTGAAGTCGGCTATGAAGGATAGAGATCGAAAGAAAGTTGCCGTCAAAATTATGGATAGAAGGAAGGCGGCAAACGAATTTCGGGAAAAATTTCTTCCACGAGAAATCGCCATCGCACCGGATTTGAAGCACCCAAATGTGGTGGAAACATATGCTGTATACCAGAACAAAGATAAAGTGTGTCCGTTTAACCACTTCGGTCACCTAGTTTGTATTTTCTCGGAGTAATTATTGTCTATAATAACTACAAACTTTAATTGTCTGTATTGTGTAATTTTTAATATTAAACTGGTTTGCTTCTTTCAAGATTTACATGGTAATGGAACTGGCCAGCGGAGGCGACATGCTGCGTTATGTGCGAGCCAGAGGCGCACTAAATGAGCAGGCTGCAAAACGGTTTTATGGTCAAATGTGCAGTGCGTTGGAATTTCTCCATTCTCGGAACGTCTGCCACAGGTTGTTCTAAATTCCTGCAATGAAAGTTTAGGTGTTCATGGGAGTTTCTTATTCAGAGACCTCAAATGCGAAAATCTTCTGTTAGATGGAGAATCTAACATAAAATTGTCAGATTTCGGATTTGCTCGGACCTTCAAGACAGAGAAGGACCAGAGTAGTACGTTCTGCGGATCGGCTGCGTACGCGGCTCCCGAAGTTCTACAGGCGAAACCGTACGACGCCCGAGCCTACGATGTATGGAGTAGTGGTCAGTGTGCAGCTTTCTGCAACCATAGAACCAGTTGTACAAATAATCACATTATCCATAAAACTTCGGTTTTTCTTCTTTGCCTAAACGGCCCAGTTAATCTAAAGTTGCCCTTTTACTTGTTTCCGTATGTCGCTTTGTTTTGTATAGGTGTGATTTTATTCATCTTTGTCTGTGGATTTATGCCATTTGACGATACTAGCATCAGGGAACTAATCAGGCAACAGAATGAGAAGCTAAAATTTCCTCGAGGATCGAATATCAGCCGAGAATGTCGGAATATTATTCGCCAAATTTTGAGTGTTGACCCGAGGAAGCGGCTGAAACTGTCGCAGATCCGAGAATCGGAATGGATGAGTCGTGATTTTGCTCCAAGTAGCTTGCCAGATGAATCAGAGGAATGCGCACCAGCAGCCGGAAAATGCAACCCATTGCATGGCACGGATGATGTCCCACCTGGTGACAACACCGATATCAAAAGAGAAAAAGAAAATGCAATGGGGGGTCACGTTTCTGGATCAGGTGAAAAGAAAACACATGAACTGAACAGCTTTCAAGCAGCTAGCCACACTGCACGACCGTAAACCGTTTATCCTGTGATACTTCTAAGTACTTAGATTCTGTCTAAAATTGATTTTCGCGTCGTAAGTTTATTGAGCTTGTATTCCGTAGAGCTACTAAAAGTATCACTGCGTCTTAAATGTTTGAGCATTGTGGGTTGGTATTGTTGGCTACGCTGGGTTTGCAACTGGGCTTGCTTGAACAACGTTACACCGTTGCAGGTTTCTAAAAATTGCCATTAAGTTCTGTGAAATAAAGCGCAATCTAGCTTTTTGAAACGGCACATGTTCTTAGCATACGTCTTTCAAGTGAAAACTACGTATAAATTTGCTTCTGATTTTTCTTGAGTGATTGACTTATCTGTACATACCGTATTCTGTAACGTGCTCTTTTTGAACAATAGTGAAATAACAAAATTTTTCCAAATAAATATGGAATCATGATGATAGCTCTTAAAAATTGAACAGACATTACTCAGTATCCCGTATTTTTATTTTCCTTGAATGAATGGACAACTGGAAAAGAGCAAACTGCAGACCCGGTTGGCAGTTGATACGCTTGCAACCCTTTATGCAGTCTGGGCGAAAGCTCTGCTTGTGTCGATGCGAAGCCTGCAATAAAAGTACTTAACTATAACTAACTGCAATAAATAATTTCTAAGTGATCCCCGACGTAGCTATGACGTCTCGCAAACACAGCAAAAGCTCTTATATGTAAATCGTGAATATTGAATTGACCCATCACATCTCAGTCTTTTAATCAGTGAACATTTTTTATATATCGGTTGTAGTAGCTCCATAATATTTTAATTTTGTTACATTATTGTCAATTGTCAACGCAACGCAGCACTGCTTTCCAACGTTGGAGAGAGTAAGACTCGAGATACAACGAACGTCTCCCTCGTGAATGCGATGAAGAATACTCCTCCTGTGATGGTTATAGCAGGTGATAAATTAAATTTCTCCTTTTTAACCGTTGATGACTTGTGGGATTGATCTAGGGATTTGCTACTCTAAGGATTTTGCCGAATGTGAATGGATGTTGAATAAATTTCAACAGAGGTGTCCTGCCTGTAATACAAAAAAGATTCCCATGTTAAAGGACGAATGGACGGTAAAAAAGTCATTTTTTGTGCATCCTGCGGCTAATTGTTATTATTCCAATTAAGTCTGCAGGGTTTCATTGAATCTTTGCTTGGACATCGAGGGTGGCAACACAATCCATCCAACGACGTTATCGTTTACCGCGAAGCGTTACAACAACCGTTCCAATATATTGGAGGTGTCAGCTCTTTCCAATTGTACCTGAACCAATTGTTTCATTTCAACTGTAGCAGTATCCCTTTGGATAATATCGATGGATATGTCGCTGACAATCACTCAGAAGTCTTGCGGTTGCGTGATTTTTATAAGGCGAAAGCAGATCCTGAAAATCTATGGAGAGTATCAATTATTGCTACCAATCATTTGGAAATTATTCCATTGCGGCTGATTAAACATTTTGGAGAGAAAGATATTCTTGGCGGAGATAAGCGCGTTCATTTGACAGTCCATAATACTTCTGCAAAATTTTCTGAACGGCATGGGTTTGAATGGACCAATGCCGGTATTGCTGACTACATGGACGACAACAGCCATCACCTTAAGCAGCTTTATGCCGCTATGTACGAAAGAGATTTGCAAACCGCCGTAGCCAATCAAGATCTGATCATCGTACTATGGTCCATGCGACAAGAAATTTACAAAGCACTAGAAGGGCGAACATACGCTCTGCGCAGTGGGATGAGTCAAGAACTTTTGTTTCTCATTGCCCAGGAAATACACAACGAGTTCGCAAACATCAGCAAAGCCTTGCAGATCTGTGGCGATTTAGAGCACACTAAGATCTTGCTGGCTAGCAGCAGGCTACAGACGCCGTTGTGCGCGGTAGGAACATACTTGTATCAGAAACTAAACGGACGACTGCCGGCATCCCACATTCTGGTCAGCGCGGTAGCGCTGGATCGGAGTTATCGCAGCGCAATTGGAGAACAGCTTGGAGTTCGAACTGCTGACGTTTTTGGAACTACAGCCTGGGGTAACCTGGGCGGCACAATGATGCTTAATCCAACAAATGCGGAAGTGTATGAGCATCGCGGGGTCATCGAGTGCCCAAAAACAGTTAAATTCTCGCGGCCTTTGTTACAGGTGTTCAGTAATGCGCAAAAACTGCAGATTGATTTCTCTGTGGATGGGCCGATGCGACAACACTATCGAGAAATGTTGGAAAGTAAGTATGGCGAAGAGTAACGGCAGCTTTAAACACAATATCGCTACTAAATCCAGTACTCTGACTATAATAATATTGTACATGAGTCTGCATTCTGGACTTATGTACAATAACCGTGTTGCGATGACTCTCAAACCGTCACATATCACCGATGCTCATCATCGTAAGTGCTATAAAAATGGCAAGCGGTCTGAATCAGACCCATTCTTGTGTGATAACCGCTCGCTGTTTAGCTCTGCATCCCTGCCCAATTCGCGTTTTTGAACCGATAGGTCCTGATCACCTGGTCACCTCTCTACTTCCTATCAAAAGACACAGAGGAAGGCAGAGTTGGTCAGACTGGTCAAAATGCATATGGTCTAAGTTTCCACATGAATGGACAGTCCACTTTCCTTTCTCTTACAACCTTTTCTGTATGTGATGGTGCTGATTATATGTGATTTCGTTTCGCAAGGATCTGGTAAAAAGAAGGCCAGAGATGCTTTTTCATATCACGCGGCAGCGGTTGTGATGTGACGGTCGTTCTGTGATATGTAACTTTTAAAGATCCCCGCAACACGGTTATTACTTCAGTATACATCTTTGCATTGCAAACAGAGGCACGAAGATCCATATGAAAACTTGATAATTTTAAATTATTCTAGTGTGTTGTAGGAGCTTGACAATGACGATAATTATCATGTAATCCTTTAAAAAACTTTTGTGTGGAACAGCGCGGAGAATTTCGTGCCTCTGCTGGCAAGAAATGCGAAAAAATCACCAAAAGTATGCAACCTATTAATTTTGCGGGTATATTATGCGTATCTTAAGCTTAATAAGAGGACCCTGTCAAAAGCAGCTATAACAGTTGAGCTTTCATGTAATCAGGTACCCGGTGTTCATCGATATTGACAGCTGAGACCTGTGTGGATATTTTGAGCCAATGGTTTGGAAATGGCAAAACTTCGCATCAAATCCAAACAAAAACCTCTGTAGTCAAACCGTTGGCCGAATGGTTTTCTTTGGGTGTTGTGACATCCAGCGATAAAAACTGGCATGTACCACCCGGCTACGTTATTGTCGTACCAGTGAATTTCAATCCTGACGGAAAACATGTCGTGTCGAGCGAAAAAGAGCGTGACGAAATTGGAGTTATTTTACAAAAAGCATTCTTTGAACTCAAGGAATTCTTGGCTATGATGAAGCGTAACTTTGATACCGCATCATCGGATCTGGTGCTGATAAACAATGGTCTCCCGGATGAAAGCGCGTTACCGATGGTGAAGTCTCTGATGTCAGGATCCGCAGAAATGGAAAGTACTGGGCACGCTGATGCCATGGAAGAGGACACCACGGGTGCGCAATTGCAAATTGTGTTAAACGTGAGCAGTGACAAACTGGAAATGGTCGAAATAAGAAATGACGGTGATCAGATAAAGATAGTACTTTAATGCCGGCTATAATGCTTAATACTTACTTATAAGGAGCCAAATTAAGTTTTTGTTTGCTAACAATGAGATGTGCTAAACTCTCCCATGTCTCTGCCAGTCGGATAGACCAGTTTCGTTAAAATGCGGTTTTGTATACTTTTTGGTCGATGTTGCGTGCACAGGAAACGATAGGCACTCACTCCTTCCACTGGTTTTTACGCGCTTATCAGCAGGGCGCAATCCGAAAGAAACCGAGAAACGGCTGAAAAATGTACCGATGGAGGAATCAAACCCCGGCTACGGGCACCGCGACATTTTGCCGCGGAAAACTGGTCGCAGGACTTTTGGTCGCAGACATTTCACCGCAAGGCCATCTCGCCGCGCGACATTTCGTCGCAGAACATCTCGTTGGTAGGACTTTACGCCGTGAGACTTTCCGTCTCATGGCCGTTTCGACGCAAGCAAATCTGGCCGCAAGGACACCTCGACGAAGCGACATTTCGCCTGTCAGATAAACGATTTACAAAACATACAATTTAAGAAACCTAGAATAACCTAAGAATATCCTACGAAACACAAGAAACCCTAAGCCTTAAGAACCTAAGAAACCTAACAGATCTAACAAACCTAAGAAACCTAAGAAACAAAATATCAGACATGACACGGAAGCAGAGCGAAAAGTGGGGCAAATATCGCCTTTATTGGTAACAATAAAGCAACCACAAACAAACACAGAAAACCAATGCGGTATCACTGTGGAAAACGTAGCTGCGAGCGCGCAAGTCAGTATCGTGATAATGATGCAGCGTGCTGCAGGTATGCAACAGCTGATGCCGTAAAGCATGGAATTGCTCGTAAGCGCTGGGCTACGCCCCCAAGAGTGCTGGTGCGATGCGCTGATTGGTCAGCGAGACAAAGTGAACGCTAAGTAATCAGCGTAATAGCGCGGCTTGAACGGCGTTGCCGTGTGCGGGCGGGCGACAGAGAAAGCCACAAGAGGTGTCTACCGCCTCGAGTGAGCGGTCTCTGACATGCCTCTGGGCGGGAGTGGGAGCTCCTGCGAGCACCTTCCGACTCTGCCACTGGCCAACCCGGTAGGGTGCCAGGATCCGATACCCGGTAGGGCCGGATGCCACTTTGTCTCTATACCCGGTAGGGTTGCTACCTCCAGACCCGCGGTGCAATGCACCGAACGGCCGAAATTTGGAGTGCACTCTGGTTGCTGGGGGTTCCAGTGTGGTTGAAGGCTTGGTTGGTCGAACAAGTAAAAAAAATAAAGTTTATAAGGCTCATTGATTAAACATGGAAATAGAAAAATCACAATTCCAGTGAGAATTAAAGTAAAGATCATAGTTAGAGATCCCAAAGCCAATTCCTTTGGTTAATGGCTAAATAAAAACATCATCTTTGGTTAATAAAGTCTAGAAAACCAGGTTTGGTTAAAAAACTAGGCAAAACAAAAGGGCTTATTCCGACTAGGGTTACCACAGGGCCAATGTCCACACGGGTCCTAGTCAACGGTCCGCTTTATCCGATGGGATAGGTCTGGTCCTGTGGATCCGGGGCGACGGTTCCCAGAGATGTACACAGGGGTCCAGTGAAGTAAATCCAGCGGTGCGGTATGAGGAAGGCACGGTTGCATGCGCAAGGACAAGTTGTCCTCTTCCTGGTTCAATATGGTGGACCAAGCCCGGTTGGGCGGTCCATAGTGGGCCAGAGTGATGTCTCTGGACAGGAGAGGTGCTCCTGTGACCAAAATAGTATGCTTGGACCAGTCCCGTTGAGGTGGTCCATTTTGGTCGGGTTTGGCCCTGCATGCCGGTTTGGTCATGCGCCTCGGGCCAAAAATCTTCTAAGTCCAGGAGGGCCATAATGGAAAAATTTTCTAAGTCCCAGGACCAAGGTGGTGTGATGGACCAAACCCGTTGGGGTGGTCCACACTCGGTCTCTGACATGCTCTGGGCCGGGATACGAGGTTCCATTGTAATTTGGCTCGCCTCCGGCTGGTGTGGGACGTTGGGGTCCTGTATGGCCAGGTCTGGCCCTCCGATGTGGACTTAGTCGTTTTTTGATGAGCCACGTCGTTGGACGGGCCAAAAGACTTAGTCGATTTTTGGTGGGCCATGTCGTTGGACGGGCCAAAAGGACTTAGTCGTTTTTTGACGGTCCAAGGTGTATGGCGGGCCAAAAGGACTTAGTCGTTTTTTCGACGGTCCAAGGTGTATGGCGGGCCAAAAGGACTTAGTCGTTTTTTCGACGGTCCAAGGTTGCAGACCGGTTAAGTCTGGTCCGCCTCGCTGGCCGTGGGCCATGAGTTAGCTACCATGTCCGATGAGTTGCCATGTCAGATAGGCAATTTCTCTGAGACCGTGGCCATAACAAAATTAAGTGGCGTCTGACGAAAACATCAGATTGGCCTGGCCAAACTCCAAAAAATTAAGTTGTGGGCGCCGGTAGGCGTTTACCACAAAGGAGTTAGTCTTCTGACTAGGAACATTCTCGTTTGGCCTCGGGGCGGTGCATCTTTTGGATGAGCCTCTGGGCAGTCCATGGTGAGGATGTTGGACGTGGCATGCAAAGGGTATACCACAACTTCTATGTGGCTCCCAAACTCACTTGTCCCAGTTGCCTGGTATGGCAACTAGACTCATGAGCCACATATGGTCCGTTGGACACATAGTGGGCCTGGTCCAATTTCTATGGGCCAGGACTTGGCCGTGGCTTGTCGCAACTTCTATGCGGGCCGTCGCCGCTTTCTGGGCGCTGGATCCTTTCCATGCCGGGGAACTTAGCTTGCGCCAAGTTCGGTCCGGTGGACTCCGTCGGATGGTCTGGGATGGCCGAGCCAAATTCATGGTCCCAGCCGCTAAGCCAGAGGCAATCCGGGGAATCCGGTTAAGGTCCAGGGATTAAGGTCCGGTAAGGTAGACGATACATGGCAGTAAGCCACGTTGGTTGGGCGAGGGCTACAACCGTTAGATTGTACCCAATATGGTGTTCAGGTCCGATCCAGCCGATGCCGGTCCATTTCTAGGGCCGACATGCAGAAATGGCCGTTAGCCTATTCCTGCCCTCCTTTTCCGGCTTGGTCGCCGTCGCCCAACCCTGGGTTGAGTGGGTCGACGACGCTTTCCTCCATGGCCGCCAGTTCCTGTTCGGTCTGGTTGTCCTGTGGTTGGCTGGAGGCGCTGGTCGGCTGAGCTTCTTGGCCCGAGTGCTGGGCCTGAGTTTGGACGTGTGCGGACGATCCTGTTGAGGATCGCTGAGTTCGAAACTTCGTTGGAAGTTTCCTCGTTGCTGTTCGATTAACGAACACTTCCGCATTGTCGTCGAAGTCCGTCGGCTGTCGATAGCGGTAATCTTTGGCGCGGCTCCTGTAAACGTTCAGGGCGCTCTGGATCTTGACTCCCGCTTCAACTTCATGAATTTGATTTGATTTTCCGGAAGGGCCACCTGGGTCAGTAGCCGAGGGACGATTTTTCCTTGCCGGTAGGCAACTTCAAGTTCCCAGTGGCAGTGTAGGTGGCCAAGTCTGGCGGCAAAGATGCGTATCATCGTGCCATTATAGGAATAGGTTTGTGTCTCTGGATCATCCCGATGGTCGGCCGGTTTCCATCGGATGTCTATGGCAGCTCTACATGCTGCGATGATGAAACTGGCGTTTGCATCCGGTAGGACAAACTGAGCCAGGTATTTGACGACGTCAAGTTGGTCGTCCTTAATGTGCAGTTGGCACAAGTCATTCCAGTCCGGTCTGGTGATGGGCTGTCCGAGTAAGTTCACGTCCGTGATGCTCGATAGAGCATTGTCACGGACCATCGGGTAGCCCTCGCGGTTCTGTATGTGTTCGGCCATGCTAAAATCACGAGGCCAATCTTTCCGCTGCATTTCCATTTCAAGGCCGGACCTGGTGACGAACGTTTGCAGGTTCTGGACCATGGCATCCACTTGGGCCGATCTGTCCCTGGGGTATGGGATAGCACCCATAATGTAATCCGTCACAACCCGGTGGGGAAGTGGTCGGATGTTGATGCCCTGGTCCTCAGCATACTTGTAAGGATCGAAGTCCGAAGTGCTGCCAGTTGATGCAGGCTGGACCGGTAGGTCCGCCGCTAGCAGTGTGGCCTCAGTCTCCATTGGTATTTGGATACTGATATTGTGGGCCACCGAGCTGACACTTCGTTCTGGTCGCTTAGTGGACTGAGCGACAACCAGGCTGGACTCTGCCTCGCCTCGCTTCCCGGGTGATGTGCGCGTTCGGCGCTCTTCGGGCTGGCTACGACTTTGGCGGCCAGTGCGGCCCTGGTTGCGGCTCTGGATCTGATGACGTAAGTCGTCGGGGTTCCGCGGTAGCGGTGCCAGCGGCGCGCGCTGCTCAGTACGTGCCGACTGGTACTGGCCTTTCAAGGCGTCCAGTAGTCCACCTTCCATCAGCTGCCTGGTCACCTGGTCAACCATAGCTTTGTTGAGGTTTTCCAGGATCTGGTTGTATTCCGTAGGTATAGGCAACTCGTATCCGTGGGATCGAGAGCCTGATGATGGCCGCTGTGGATGTGGCTGGTGTGCGTAGTTGCTCGGGGCGGCCGTTGGGCCACGCCCTGAGGACTGGTCGGAGCCCGTGTGGCGAGCTCGACGTTCCCGGTCTCGGTCCTCCTTTTTATCTCTGGCCGATTGGCTGAGTGGAGGAATCGGAGTGCCGGTGCTGCTCCAGCCGGGTTGTCGGGCGCCACTGCGTTGCATATAGAGATCGTAGATCTTTATCTGCTCATGGTCCCTCAGTAGGGGAAACAGGTTGCTTCCATCGCGGCTGGTTATATGGCAGTATGCGTCAAAGTTGCCTCTCACCACTTCCAAGTAGAAGCAGTAGGCTCGGTCATTCTCGTCGCGGAAGCCCGGTCGCAGGTGGTATGCGCAAAGGAACAACTCCCGTGGGGAATTGTCCCGGCGGTTTTGGTCTCCGCTGTTGCTGTTGCGTCTGCAGTCCGAGCATCGCGGCTCATACTTCTGCTGTGGTGTAAGTCCCATTCTCTGTGGTAACAGAAATGAAACTTGCAGAATAAGGTTGAGTCCACTTTCTATGACGGGTCCCTATGATAATTACGCCCTATATTTTACGTCCCTATGGTTTTACGTGTGATTTGTTAACTAGGCTTTTCTTGCCCGGTGAATTATATCGGGATCACACCCT